TCCCTTTCCTCCTCCCCCCCCCCCAATCCTACCCAAATCTTCCAAAGGTCTCTCAAATGTTCTGCCAACTTTTTTGGAGTTTGTTCCACTACTTCTGCAGTTTCCCTGAACACTGAACGGGAGGGGAAAGGGACGGGGGAGGGTATGTACCGTACCATTTTTCTCTAGTGCACATACGAATCGCTCCCCTCCAGTGACAAAATCGACCGCCCCGCTGGGAGTCCCAACGTCCGACGTACTCTGGCAGATCAAGGACCAAGAAATTAGTTCTGGTAGCTACATTAGCGAAAAAAAAAACATAAAACAATCCAGCAAAAGGGACATTCAGAAGCTCTTCCTCATTTATTGTCTTTTAACTCATTAGCAACAGAAACAGCATCCAGTAATACAAAATGCATAATTAGTGGGGCAGGGGTGGTGCAGAGGCAAGTGGTGGCACCTACCACGTATGCGGATTGGGGGGGGGTCACATTTTGGACAGGCTCTCGTCCAAGCTAATCAAGCTTTCCTTCCCTTTATGGCCAACATATTGGGTGATATCAGATTAGTCTGGAAGGATAAAACACTGGATTTTCAGTTGGCTGGACCCTGCAAGTCATTGCATAGGCCATATCGCGATCAAAGGGTGCCACGGTCCTGAATATCATTGGATTGCGTACAGCATTTTTGAAAGGGATCCCGTCAACCATTAAAGCTCCAAGGCTTTGAGCTTTTTTGATGAAGTAAGGTTTGCGTGGTACTGTCATTCATCAAAGCACTAAAGATGTTCATCTGTGTACTCGTTGCATCTCTTTCATCGGGCCATGTGGCAGGACAATCATAACATGCGGCGCTAGTGGGAGGGGCGAGCGATGCCACGCTAGCGAAAGACGAGTTGTCCTGCCTGGTCATTTGAGGTTTCAGAGCTGAAGGGACGAGAAAATCCGGTATCATCCGAACGCAGAGTTTTGCATCCGTCTGAACTCATATCAATTAGGCTGCTCCAAAGGTGGAGCCCTGCCCTTCCACAGAGCAAGCCATCAAAGCTTAGTAACCAGGAGGTGAAGGTCGGCCAAGAAAAAACTTTCAAAACCGTACCGAATACGCTCTCAACGACAATAGACGAGTCTCTGAATAATAGCAGCTTCTCTTCTTCACCCGAACACTCTTCTGCACACTTATCGATCACCATGTTGTCTAGAATTTGATGTTTAGAACAGCTTCTCGATCATAAATCCAGGAAATTCCAAAGAATTCACCTTACCCACAACTCCTTCTGTCTCTATCATTTGCTGAATGTTCTTCAAGTAGGCTACCAGGTCTGCAGGGTACGTCTCTTTCCCTTCGCTTCGTTTATCTTCATCTCTTATGCTTTCACGCACTTCTTCTTCGTTACCGCCACCAATTCGTCCATATTTCTACAACGGAAATTCCAAGATAATCGGAAAATCCAATATAATCTCCACAAGCTTGAAGTTTAGGGAACGAACCTTATCAAAATCGTTACTGCCGTAGTTTCGACCTCCTCCTCTGGAAAATCGATTATTTCTTTGTCCTCCACGACCGCGGAAGCCACCACCACCACGGTTTTTTTCAGGAAATGTCCGGTGATATTGGTTATTGCTATCTTCTCCATTTGTGGAAGGGCCTTCATCGGTCATAGTTTTGTAGCCGCATTCAGACAACCGGTCCTTTTTCTTTTCTCCACCGTCATTTTCAGTTTGAGAAATGTCAACTTTTCTTTTCCTTGTCATCTATAAGAAAACGAATGTCAACTTACCGTATGCAAACACTTTCAATTCCTTGATATATCTGATTATGCGATTATATTCATTCGGCAAACCAGAAACCTATTCTTTCTTTCTTTCTACCTGTTAACTATCCGGCGCTTCTATTTTGTGTTGTGTTGCACAGTTTGCACCATTCTGTGTTTCCTCGAATGTTTGACTGTTCTGCTGTTTATGTGTGATTTTCTTCGTTCTAGGTAGTCTAATCTCTCTCTGCCGTTTCCCTAGTAGATTCTGGGGTGGGGGGCTTGTGGGGGGCGGATGAGATATATCTAATTTGCCGTCTGTCCAGTCACAAAAAGTAGTTATTTAAATGTGCCGTTCTACCACTTTTATCGCCCATATGTTTTCAATGATTTCCAACTGTGACGCTTTTTTTGTTGTTAGTTGGTGTTCTGTGAGCTTAATCATGAGTGCAACATGTGATATGAGAGAGTTAGGTTGCATTAAGGGAAAGAGCGCTGACACCTCGCTGAACTGAGTAACGATGTGGAACTCTCGTCATGGTCGACTCGCGGCATATCTCTCTCTCGCCTTATGCATTGCATCGTTTGGGAAAGCACATAGGGGGCTCTGCTACTTTCTTCCCGCGTTGGGAAAGTGTGTGTCCGTTATGGTCGTTGGCGAGTTTGGGGGTGATCTGCCTTACGTGGAGTTAATTTTGCTGCTTGCTTGTGGAAATAACATTTAATATCCCCAGCCGGCCCCTCCATCTCCTCTCGATCAGTGTTTTAGTTTTATTGTTGGTGGTTTTTGTTTTTTGTGCAGAATAATTCTTTGATAAAGATTATTGGTTTTTTGTTGTTTGGGGGTTGCGTTGTCCTTTTTGGTTGTTAGGCTAGATTCCCGGTGATTTTGGATCGGAAAAAATATTTATAATAAGAATTGGGGAAATTCTTATAGGAATTTCTTTCGTTCATTCATTGGCTATAAACCTCTCTCTCTCCTTCTCCGCTCCCCGCTGCTGCATTCTGCTCCCGAACTCCTGTGCCGTCGTTGACGTGAAATATCCTGGGTCAGAAAGAAGCAGTAAAATTGGGCTAAATTCGTTAGTTGGCTGCTGGTGGAAGAATGGTGGATGTATTGGGGGGCGGGTGTACTACAGTACATCCAATCATGTTTATCTTATATCTCTATCAATGACTGCCTTGGTCACCTCTGAATCTAGGAACAAAGCGCGCTTAGTCTTATGTCATGGGATTTTTCTATTACAGGCGCATTTTTCATTGACTTTTTGCTTGCGTTCTTCTTGATATATAGGAATCGTTCAACCTTGTTGTTAACTATCTTAGCCCGCAATAACTGAGTCATTTTTCCAACGCGTACTCTACTTTAGACTTTCACGGCCTTGTAACAACCTATACCTGAGGGATAACATATTAGCCCCAGTTGGCGTCTTGCGCGCCTAGGGTGAGGACATTTTTCGCATTTCGCCAACATCTTTCGCTAGTTACTGTTGATCGAAATGTCGTACCGTGGTAGAGACTGTAAGCTCTTGTCAAAGTAGCTCATCTCAGCTCTAACGATGCTTTGCTTACATAGCTTCACAGGGACTTACTCCGGTTACGGGCATTGGTCAACTAGACGTGCTCTCGCTGCGAGAGTCCAGGGTTATTTTCACGGGGCACCTGTCCATTAAAGGAGGAAGAAAAAAAGAAAGAGGCCTCGCGGTTGACAAGTGCCCTGAGACGCAATGGGTTACCAATGTCATTGCTCCACAGCAAGGACAAAAGATTGATAGGAATCAGCGTGGTGCTTGTACAGGTCACATTCTGAAGACCTGTACATTCTTGTACCCATTCCGGCGATGGCTCATATGCACCATCTCGCGGTTTCACACGGTGTTAACAGGATCTAACAAGAGCTAGCGAGCCTGATATGCTTCCCCCTCTCAGCCAAACATCGCCCAAACCATCTTTGTTCGACTCCACACGAAATTTAAGTTTCATCAAAACCTCCCGACTGATTCGGAGCAAAATCAACACCTGAAGTCACTTGAAGAAGTATAAACGAAATCGCAGGCGTAGTCATGCTATAATTTGCTAAGTGATGTTTCGCGCCCTCGACCTCCCCCCCTCCCCATGATAATCGGTCGGTGGAACCTGAACATTGTAAATAAGCACGAATTCGTTTATTCGTTTCTGGGGTTTACAGCCTCGCACGAAGTAACTAACATTGATTTCGCCCATACACCGGAAGGATATGAGGTTAAATCTTGGCTCCGACCACAATCAATAAGAGGTCATCGGCCTTCGAAACATACAAGGAAACGTACAAAGGGCGGGGGCAAAAAAGTCACTTTTTTCATTGACTTTCGAGGCGCTATAAGTTACACTTTATTAAATTCTGATCGGACATTTTTACCACCATATTAAAGAGCATATTAAATACTATCATGACACTCCGCCACAGCCTTCTGGACGAGCGCCATCGAGAGATTCTGGCACGCGACCGCGATGTGGTGCCTGAGATCAGCGAGATAGTCGATTTCTCCGCCACCGTAGACCACCCTATTGAACTCCGCCCGAACCGGGTAATTGAGGGGATTCAGGTCAGGTGACCTACTTGGATATTCCATCTTCTTTAGGTACTCAGCCCCCTTCCATTCCAAGTAGGCGAGAGTTTCTCCAACGCCCTTCGATTCCATGTGGTGGCACCCAATGCTGTAGCAGTACAAAGTTTCCAAGAAGGTACGACGACATGTGAGGAGGATATTCTTCACGAGTTGCTCGATGTAACCGCCAGCGCACCTTCAGTCCGGGGTCCACGAAGAAAATATTGGTCTTTCCATTCCAGGTACGTCCGGTCCATACCATCAACCCGCGCCTTGGCGACTGTGGTGAAGATGATGTCCTAGACCGTGGCGACGTTGTCGGAGCTGCTCGATGTTGGAGGTCATCCAGATCGAGAGTACTGGTTTCCAGGTACCTGTCTATGGGTGATTCCATACTAGAAGTTCCGCAGTTGTTTGGAGGTGACATGAATTCCAAAG